CACTTGTGAAAGAGATATACTCTTGCTCTGGAGTGTGTTACTGAATATGTTAAAGCTGTAGTGAAATGCTTCTTATAATCATGTAGTTATTAAAAATTTTTAAAATAATGATTAAAAAAAGAGAGAGAGCATTAATGAGACACATCTTTAGATGTGTCTGTGAGGGCTTCTCCAGAGTGACTAAGTGAGAAGGGAAGACACACCTTGAATGTGAACAGTGCCATTCTCTGGGCTGGAGGAGAAAGACAGCTAAGCTCCAGTAAACCTCCACCCCCCCACCCCCCCCACCCCTGCTTGCTGTTTGCTGAGATGAGATATGAACAGGCAGCCTCTTGCCACTGTCCCTTTTCTGCCATAATGGATTGTATCCTCTGAACTGTGAGACAAAATAAGCCCTTCCTGAATTGGATTCCTGCCAGGTATTTGGTCACAGCAGTGAGAAAAGTGACTAATACATAAAATTGATACTGAGGGAGTAAAGAGATGGCTCAGTGGTTAAGAACACTGGTTTGTCTTACAGAAGATCGAGGTTCAAATCCCAGCACCTACATGGCAGATAACACCCGGCTAAAACTCCAGTTCCAGGGGATCTAATGCCCTCTTCTGTCCTCCATGGGTACTGCACAACACAGGTGCACTTACACACATGCACATACATGCACACATAACATTCATACACATAAAATAAAAATATATTTTAATTGATACCAAGAAGTGAGGCTACTGTGAGAAACCCAAGGTGTGGCCCTTAAACCTTCTGGACTCCTTTGCAAGAAGAATGTGAACTAGTTTGGAGTGATAGGCTAGACAAGCCCTAGAATGCTGTAAGCTTAATGAGCCAATCTGGTGGAAGTTCAGAAGACCAGAATACCCATAGAAATGCAGCAGTAAAGACTTTAGAAAGGAAACTCTTGGGTTCTAGACTAAGGGCCATTTGTGTTATATTATGGCAAAGAATCTGGCTGTGTTTTGCTCATGTTCTGAAAACTTGAGTGAGGCAGAATTCAAAACTAAATGTACTAAAGTGTTTGGCAGAGGAAACTGTAAGACTGTGGTTGTATGTATTTACAGACTACATTTATCCAGATTTACAGTGCAAGCAGAAAGTAAAGCAAAAGATGTGAAACTACATTCTGCATGGAAAGTAGGGTGAACCTGGTTAAAATTTAAGGCAAGTAGGTTCAGACAAAGCTGGACAATGGAAAGGGGCTATAAAAGCAAGACCTCATCTGTTGAGAGCCTGAGGCATAGTGATACAAATTCCTTTGAGCCTGTCTGATCAAGGTAGAGTTTTCACAGTACCTTGGTGGAAAATAGCTATTTTCCTAGGGGAAGTGTTTTCCCAGCTGCAGCCTTGAAGGAACATAGAGGTGGCTACAACTGTGGTCTAAGCCGGCCAGACTACATCTCAAGCTGGCAGCAGAACTTGGAGTCATCCATGTGGTGCTGATTTTGTAGTCACAGAAGATGCAAAAGTGAGGGGGTCATGGAAATTGTACCAAGGTTCCAGGAAGCCACGGAGGCCAGCTCAGATTTCCTGCACGGAGCTCCTGAGTGGGCTTTGTTTGAAGCTGTGAAGGTGAAGTTTGTGCTGCAATGGAGACTCCAGGATATAGGAGATTCATGAGACAACTACTGAAGAAAGCTGTAGACAGTGAATGAGTCCAGTCAAGAGAGGCCACAGTTCTGTTCTTCAGGCAACAGAACTAGAAGGATGGGGCTGCATAAGCTTCTTGGAGCCCAGATGATGCCATCAGAAGCCCAGATACCAGACATAGAGTTGTAGGGGTTTGTGTTTGCCCTGCTGGGTTTTGGTCTTGCTTTGGTCTTGACTTTTCTTGCTATCCTCTCATTCCTTCCTTTTGGCATAGGAATGGTTATGCCATTATATATTAGAAGTTTGTAACTTACATTTTGATTTTACAAGGGCTCACAGTTAACAGAATGCCTTGAGAGCCCAATGTGGTGGTGCACACTTAGAATCCCAGCTCTCAGGAGGCTAAGAAAAGAGGATTGGCATGAGTTTGAGACCAGCCTGGGTCTTTATCTCAAAAATGTACAACAGGAGCTGGTGAGATGGCTCAGTGGTTAAAAGCACTGATTGTTCTTGCAGAGGACCCAGGTTCGATTCCCAGCACCCTCATGGTGGCTAACAACCATCTATAACTCCAATTCCAGGGGTTCTAACAATCTCTTCTGACCTCTGAGGGCATTGCAGGACACAGATGCAATACATACATGCAAGCAATACATTCATACGTGCAAAATAAAAATACATAAATCGAAATTTTAAAAAAACATTGAACAACAGGGTAAGGGAGATGGTCCAGTCAGTAAAGTTCTTGCACAGCAAGCACAATCTTAGTTCAATCCCCAGAACCCACATGAAAACAGTGGTACTTGCTTGTGATCCCTGTGCTGGGGAGGCAGAAACAGGTAGACCCCTTAGGCTTTTGGGCTGGCCAGCCAGCTGTCTTAGCTTGCTTTCTGTTGCAGAGATAAACATCATGACCAAAAGCAACTTGGGAGGAAAGGGTTTATTTCATCTTACAGGTTACAGTCCATCACTGAGGTAAGTCAGGGCAGGAACTCTAGCACGGTAGGAACTTGAAGCATGGACCATGGAGGAATGCTGCTTATTGGCTCTCCCCCAGCCTCTGTTCAGCTAGCTAGCTTTTTTCTTTTCTTTTCTTTTCTTTTCTTTTCTTTTCTTTTCTTTTCTCTTCTCTTTTCTTTTCTTTTCTTTTCTCTTCTCTTCTCTTTTCTTTTCTCTCCTTATCTTTTTTTCTTTTCTTTTCTTTTCTTTTCTTTTCTTTTCTTTTCTCTTTGGTCTTTTTGAGACAGGGTCTCCCTGCCTGTAGCCTCAGCTGGCCTGGAACTCACTATAGAGACCAAGCTGGCCTTGAACTCACAGAGATCTGCCTGCCTCTCCCTCCAGCTGCTGGGACTACAGGCATGTGCCACTACACCCAGCTTCAGCTAACTTTCTTAAACAGCCCAGGCCTACCTGCCCAGGGATAGCACGTGGGCCCAGTGAGCTGGTCCGTCCTACGTCAATTGGCAATCAAGAAAATGCCTCACAGACACTCTCACAAAGCCAATTTGCTGGAGGAACTTCCTCAGTTAAGATTCCCTCTTCTCAGGCCTGTCAAGTTGACAACCAAGATTAGCCATCACACCAGCCTAGCCTACTTGGCAAGCCCCAGCCCAGGTAGAGATCCTGTCTCAAGGATCAAGGTTGATGCAACCTGAGGAATGACACCCAAGACTGTCCTCTGACCTCCACATGCATGTGTACACATGTGCACAAACATGAACATGTGCACAGAACAGCAACAAAGAGAGATTTCCCTGAATCTCAGAAAACACTTTTGAAGTGTTGGGACAACTAAGACTTTTAAGACTATTAGAGATGGACTAAGTGCTTGAAATGTTACGCTGTATTAAATACCAGGTGGCTGTCTCACTCCCACACATGGATACATTTTGATAGAGGAGCTCTTCCTACTATAAATGGAAGAATTTGAGTCATCTGAGATTTTTCTTGCCTCAAATGTTCTAGTTATTGTGTTAGATTTATAAACTATTAGACTTAAGGAGTTTAATGATCAGTGTTAGTATGTCTGAGCACAAATGGCCATATTACTCACTCCCTGATTCATTCACTGAAAGAGGAGTGTGCTATCACCTTCATGATCCATGATCAACACTGTTTGCCACCTCTGTCTGCTGTACCATGGTGTGCTATAAGAGGCCAAGTAAATGCACCTTTCCCTCATACAGTCATATGACACAGTTCTGTTCTTGGACCTAAGCTGCTGGGCAGTGCTCACTGTGATGCATGGTGGTTACAGCACTCCTCACTTCATTCTCTCTCCTTCCCTCCAACTTCTTTATAGCTCAAGAGGGCCAGCAGTGAGGACATGCTCAACAAACCTGGAAGTGCCACCTCAGCAGGGGTGGTGCGACTGAAGAAGACTGCCACCTCTGGAGCCATCTCTGAGCTCACTGAGAGCCGCCCTAGGAGCAGCACAGGTAGGAGGGAGCTAGGGGCCACGAGGCCATCATCTTTGTACCATTAGTGACTTACTGAGCCCCTCTCCCCACAGTCAGATATTATTGAGCACTTACCATGGCCAGGAGTTGGTTTAGGAGACAGCCCCTGCCTGGGACTTTTGCACAGTGGGGAAGATGGATGAAGGACAGAAGAGCAGTGAATTACCGTGTCACCCCAGCAGTCCACTGGTCACTTGTGTATGTGGAATTTTTTGGGATTGAGCATGGTGGTATATCTCTGGGGTCACCCTGGATAAAATGTCCCAATGGATTTGGGAATCACCTAAGGTGGAAAAAAAAAAAACTGAACCAGGCCTTGATGATAATGGGTGTTGAAGGATATTACATGCATCACTTTTGTACCTTTTCAGAAAATACCACATTCTGGACTACTTTTCCAAGGATAAATTTTAATTTATTTGGCTTTTAAGTTTAATGTGAGGATTATATGTAGCTTTGGATATAAGGAGAATGGTCTGTGTTTTTATGTAATAGTTTTGCTGTTTTAAAGAATGAATGACTTCATACTAAACACACTATTTTAAAAATATTTTTATTATTTTTATTTTATGTGTATGAGTGTATTGCCTGCATGTATGTGAGTGTACCCATGTCATGCAATGCCGCATAGGTCAAAAGAGAGCTTCAGATTCCCCTGGAACTGGAATTAAGGATGGTTTGTAGCTGCCATGTGGGTGCTGGGAATCGAGCCCAGGTCCTCTGCAAAAGCAGTCAGTGCTCTTAACTGGCTGAGCCATCTTTCCAGCCCCTAAGCACACTATTTTTTACTTTTTGTTTTCAATATTTATTTTTATTTTATTTTATTGATACAGGGTCTCCTTATAACCCCAGCTGGCCTGGAACTCACTGTGTAGACCAGGCTGGCCTTGAACTCACAGAAATCCACCTGCCTCTGCCTCCCAAGTGCTGGGATCAAAGTTGTATGCCACTATGCCAGGCTTTTATTTTGTTTTATCTGTATGAGTGTTTTGCCTTCATGTATGTATGTGCACTACATGTGTACAGTGCCTGAGGAGGCTAGAAAATGGAGTTAGATCCCCTAGAACTGAAGTATTTTATTTACTATTTTTTTTTTTTTTTGGTCTTTTTGAGACAGGGTCTCTCTGTAGCCCCAGCTGTAATTCACTATGTAGACCAGGCCAGCCTTGAACTCACAGAGATCTGCCTCCCTCTGCCTCCCAAGTGCTGGGATTAAAGGCGTGCACCACCACACCTAGCTATTTACTGTTTTTATTTTATGTTTATGAATATTTTGCCTGCATGTATATAAGTGCACCAGGTGTGTGCAGTGCCTGTAGAGGCCAGAAGAGGGTGTCAGATCCCCTGGAACTGGAGTTACAATATAGTTGTTACCTGCCATGTGGTGCTGGAAATTGAACCTGGGTCCTCTGGAAGAACAGCAAGTGTTCTTAATTGCTAATCCATCTTTTCAACTCCCACACTCAGTTTTTAAAATGCAACAAATGAAAGTAAAACATTTTTATCATGCAAACTTCTGCTACTGATTTCAAAAGTTAGCAGATATCATTAAAAATTAATGATGGCTGATCTCACTCTCAATATTATTGATGCAAATAATGAGATACCAAATGCAATTCAATAAAAGTTAAGAGAACAGTGGTTGTCCAGTACAATCAAGTGCATTTGTGCTGTCCAAGAATGTGCAAATACTACAGAGACTGAGCACAATGTGCCTGGGAAATCACAGGCCAAAGAAAAGTCCTGTGGTCCATCTTCCTGGGTGTTAATAACTCACTCTTGGGAGATTATAAGTGTGTGGGTACTTCAGTCCCAAGTACTCAGAGGCAGGAGCATCACTTGAACCTAAGAGTTGGAAGCTAGTTTATGCAAGATAAAGACTCAGCCTCAAAAAACAAGTAAATAGCACTGGGGAGGTAGAGGCAAGCTCAGGAGTTCAAGCCCAGCTTTGGTTACATAGGAGTTCAAGGTTAACCTGGCCTACATGAGACCTTGTCAGGAAAACAAAACAAAACTAAACTAAATAGCTTTCTTATTAGTGACAAATTAGAAAAGATAATATTAGAAGAAACAACCCCACTTAAGAGGGAATGAAAAAAGGTGAAATACCCAGGGTTAAAGTTAATTATATGAGTCTCTGTGTGTGTGTGTGTGTGTGTGTGTGTGTGTGTGTGTGTGTGTATGTAGTTCGTTGATGTTGTTGTTTGACAGGGTCTCCCTAGTCCCAGCCCTCCTGGAAGTCACTATGTGGACCAGGCTGGCCTCATCTCACAGAGGTCCACCTGCCTCTGCCTCCTGAGGGCTGGGATTAAAGGTGCACGCCTGGAGTAAAAGCCTGTATATTAAAAGAAAACCATAACATCCTTTTGAAGAACAAATCTGTGTCATCCAAGAGGAACACATGAACAAGTGAAAGGAAACACATAGTTTGAGATAGAAAGATTAAACAGTAAATTTAGTAGTATAACATATTAAATGTAATGGGAATGTTTAAATTGTTCTGTCAACTCAGTTTCATCCTAATTAACATACTGGTGTAGAATTGGAAGTACCACCTTGAGTAAAATGTTACCTTTTGCCTTGGGAGTCATCTGTAGCCAGTGAGCACTAGGCCTGCTGAAGGTATTTTTGGTTGTCCTGACTGCCATCTAGTCTGTGGAGGGCAGAGCTGCTGCTAAACATTACCCTGAACAATGCAGGCAAAATATCCCTCCTGGCTGGGTAGCACCGCTAGGAAGCTCTGATTCAGAATATCCTCCCAGGATAATTAGCAAATTCCGAAAGAGAGTGATCAAAGGGCTAACCGTAGCAAACACAGTGGAGAAAGTCCACAACCTGCCATTGCATTTGGTACAGGATAAAGGTAGTGTTTTCTGTGACTGTAAGGCTGGGGGTATGGCTCAGAACAGAGCACTTGTTTAGCCTGTGTGAGGCCCTGAGTTCAGTTCCTAACACCAAAAAAAAAACCCTAAAATAAAACTGGGTAATACTTTAGTGAAAAATGAAATTGAATCTTATTACAGTCTTCTCATCAAAATTAATTATAGGGAGGTGGAAAGATGGCTCAGTGGGTGAAGTGCTTACTGGGTGAGCATGAGAACGTGAGTTCAATCCCTAGTACCCACATAAAAGCCAAGTGCAGGGTTCTTGCCTGTAACCCTAGTGCTGGGGAGGTAGAGAAAGCAGATCCCTGCCTGGGGTTTGCTGGCCAAGTGGGGAGCCCCTGGTTCAATGAGAGACCCTGTCTCAAAAAAAAAAAAAAACCAAAAAAACAAAGTGGAGAGTGATAGAAGGTATCCAGTATTAGTTGACCTCTGGCCTACACAACCAGCATGCACTCGCAGAGATCTGCCCGCCTCTACTTTTCCTGTGCTCAGATTAAAGGTGTGTGCCACCACACCCAGTTGTCCAATGGACTTATTTTAGTGAAATCAAATTCTTTGATGTATGTCTCAAGCTTTTATTTGTTTTAAAATTGTTTGCAGTACTCACTGAAGCTAGACTGTTTGCCACTAAGCTGTTTCCCAGCCCCAAGTTTTTTACTTTAAGCATAGGCAGTCCTCAGCACCCTGCTCCAGACCTTGCATGGCTGGCACTTTGGTGCATTGTAATGACCCTCACTCCCAGCCTGCCTCAGCACTGAGGTAGCTTTCAATCCATTAGGACCTGCTCTCAGGAGCCGGAACATGCAGGGCTTCTGTGTTGCTCTCTTAACTGCACTGTTTGGGCAGTCATTTAAAATGGATGATACTTTATCTACACATGTGTTCATTTTATCAGAATAAGAAAATACCTGAGATGATGAACTTATTAAAAGAAAGGCTTCATATGGGAAGTCAGCACAGAGAATTGCACTGAGGGCCTTGTGCAGGCTGCATCCAGTGTTCTGTCACTGAGCTACATCCCCAGTCTGTAAAAGGAAAAGTTATGTTTCAGCTCACAGTTTTGAGGTTCCTATGGTGAGGACCACATAGTGGGACCAAACAGCTCATGCCATGATGGGGAGCAGAGAGTGAGCAGGAGGCTGGGGCCCTACATCTCTCTAAGGGTGTGTCCCAGGGAGCCTTGGGCTTCCCACAGTCTCTACCTTCTGCAAGTTCCACCACCTCCCATAGCTCCACCAGGGACTAAACCTGTAACACAGGCAGACATCCCAGAGCCAACTATACTGGCATGAGAGAGATGGGAAAATGAAAACACTGATACTAGTAACAAAGGTGAGAGTGGATGTGTATACATATGTGTGTCTGATGTGTGTGTTTGTGTGTGTTGTGCATGTGTATATGTATGTGTGTGGTGTATTGCATGTGTTTATATGTGTATGTATGAGTGTATAATTTGTTTATGTGTGTCGATGTGTGTGATGTACTTGTATCTGATGCATGTGTATATGTGTGTATAATGAATGTATGTGGTGTGTGTGTACCTATGAGTGTGTAATGTATATGTATGTGTGTTGTATGATGTGTGCATGTGTGAGTGTGCGATACATGTATGTGGTGTGTGATGTGTGTATGTATGTGTAATGTATATGTATGTGATGTGTTGTGTTTGTGTGATGCCTGTATATGTGTGACACCTTCATGTGTGTGTGATGTGTGTATGTATGATGATAACATGTATATGTGTGGGGGGGGATATGTGTGTGATTAGTATGTGTATGTGTGTGCTATTTATTCGTGTGTGTGTGTGTGTGTGTGTGTGTGTGTGTGTGTGTGTGTAAAGGTGTATTGCTGTTAGATTCTTGCAGGTCTTACTCAGTTCTCTTAAGGTTCAGCTATGAAGGGAAAAAATCCAGTCACAGGAAGGCAGGGAGATGCTGGCAATGCGTAGGTAATTTTCTCTAAAAGGAAAGATAGGTTACAATCACATAGAGATTTGAGAAGTTGAAGTCATTTAAAAAATATGTGGGTGCTGGGAATGTAACCTGGGTCCTCTGCAAGAGCAGCAAGTGCTCTTGACAGCTGGACCATCTCTCT